GGCCCAGTATCAAGCCTGAGGAGACCTATGCCTGCAGATAAACAATACCAGTAGAAATCTAAATTTGTCAGCTGATTATATTTCTCCAGTAGCATTATACTAAGGAGATTACAGCTGACTATACCAACAGAGGTTGATGTTAGTATCATCATTTAAAGCTGAAGATGAGTTCATGAGGCCTCAGTGGCAAATCAGTGAACAGTAGCCTAAAACAGCTACAAGTCACTGCGACCAATGTCACTGAACCCACTGCAGTCTCAGAACCATACTTTACTTTAATGATGAGCTATTCAATCTTCTGAATCAATTAACTAAATTAAACCCCAATAAATCTGATGACTGATTTGATACATTTATTATTTAATCAAGATGTATTCCATGGGCCTCAGTGTTTATATATCAGTGACCAGTTACCTGAACAAACTTCAAGTTATATCTAATGTCACTGATCTCACTGCAGTCCCTGAATCATACTTGACTGTAGTACTTGATCACATCCAGTCTTCTGGGTTAAATAATATGTAATTAGGCTTGAATATTAGCCTTTCAAGAGTTGACAGGGAAATGAAATCGCATTAGACTTCTAACCCCTGCAACTCTAGTACGGGACATCCGTCCTGTACGAACAGACACACAAATGTGTGATTACTAACTACTAACATCAAATTAATCTAATAATTCGAAGGAGGAGTATCGGTGTTCGTCTGTTCTAATTAGGACTTCGACCCGTGAGCAGCCCCTGGGGAATTATGTCGGAAAATCCGACACCATTTAATAATCATACAGATAATAGCTGTATTGTATAAACAAGTTACCCATAGAAAACGTAACTTGTAGTGGAATTACCGTCTAAAGAAAACGGGATATCATCACCACATACTATTATAATTCACCACCTATTATGGTGGGAATTATTCTTAAATACATTAGTCTTTGGACTTTACCATCATAAAAACATCTTATATAAATTAACTTAATTATCAATATTAAAGTAGAGTAAATGTGACCCTTCTATCACCTTTGGACATGTGGACAATGTAAGCCAGGCGTCAGAGTGAGGAAGGAGGGCAGCCATTGTTGTGTCACCTCCGAGACGTGTGGAGCAAATTTAGCTCCTATCATATCTGGACAATGTCGGCCAGTAACGTCAATAGTATGGAGTGTTAAACAGCCATTGTTTATTGAGACCAGAGGCTCACACGGGAGCAAATTCGGCTCCTGTTAAATTTACTTGGACGTAGTGTTATGGAAACCAAAGGTGTACCATTGTCAACACGCTGTCTACAAATTCAAGTTAAGTGTCTATCCGAAACCCGTTTATCATTCATTTATGGCCATTAATGTCAGGATATAGGGTGACCCGGTTAGATCACGTGGAAGCCTCAAACTAAAGGTAATTAAGCCAGGTCTTCATGTTCCATGTACAGTTTTCTCTGAAATACTTGTCATATATAGGATTCTGGCTTCACAGCTAGCGCACCTTTGACAGGTCAAGACGAGGAAGCAAGATTTGTGCACCAGTTACTGGGTGATGGAAGCTACCTCAAAGAGGATAATTTGGTGTCTACACCCTAGTTATACCTGGTGGACTAACCTGCTGTACTATAAGATAAGGAACCTTTTCAATGTATGTAGTTACTGTAGTTTGATTGGCTGCATATATATAAATTTAATAAACCCCCCTAATGTGTAGAGGATCGATTTGTGAGATTATGAGATTATTGCAGAAATACAGTCCACTTATCATTATACAAATTGCTATCGAAGTATATAAATTAACGTAAATATAAATTCATATAAATTAAATAAATATAAATCTCACAGGTCGGTTCCCACAAATAAAGCTACCCATTTCATTATGTATGAGGTCAATTATTTTTTATTCGAGTTAAAATTAACGTAGATATATGACCGAACCTAATCAACCCTACCTAACCTAACCTAGCCTATCTTTATAGGCTAGGTTAGGTTAGGTAGCCGAAAAAGTTAGGTTAGGTTAGGTAGTCGAAAAACAATTAATTCATGAAAACTTGGCTTATTAGGCAAATCGGGCCTTGCATAGTAGGCTGAGAAGTGCGTTCTGGCTACTAGGTACGACATATGTTTATATATATATATATATATATATATATATATATATATATATATATATATATATATATATATATATATATATATATATATATATAAATATATATATATATATATATATATATATATATATATATATATATATATATATATATATATATATATATATATATATATATTATTAAATATGACCGAAAAAGTAAGATTAATAATTCTAACACGAATTTTCTCAATCTTTCGTACATTACGCTTCACTGTTGGAGGTAAATAAAAAATCACTTCTCCAAAATTCATTTTTATTTCTAGTCTGACGCGACACGGGCGCGTTTCGTAAAACTTATTACATTTTCAAAGACTTCACAAATACACAACTGATTAGAACGTATCTCTGATTTTATATCTACATTTGAGTGAGGTGGGAAGGGTGATGTGGCATTAACACAAGACAGAACAGGAGAGGATATTAATAGGGTATTAAAAGTATCAACACAAGACAGAACAGAAACAATGGGTATTGAATAGAAGTGTTTGTAGAAAGCCTATTGGTCCATATTTCTTGATGCTTCTATATTGGAGCGGAGTCTTGAGGTGGGTAGAATATAGTTGTGTAATAATTGGCTGTTGATTGCTGGTGTTGACTTCTTGATGTGTAGTGCCTCGCAAACGTCAAGCCGCCTGCTATCGCTGTATCTATCGATGATTTCTGTGTTGTATACTAGGATTTCTCTGGCGATGGTTTGGTTATGGGAAGAGATTATATGTTCCTTAATGGAGCCCTGTTGCATAAGCAACAGGGCTCCATTAGTGGGGTGGGGAGAACGATGGGTAAGGGGACGGGGGTAATGGTGAGGATTACGATGAAACGGTGAGTTGGGGATGGTGGGGACGAGGGGATGGGAGAACGGTGGGGAAGACTAGAGGACAGGGGGAGTGAGGAATGGTTGGGAGAACGAGGGGATGGGGGAATGGTTAAGGGGGCGGGGGACTCGAGGATCGGTTGATGTGGCTCAGAAACGCACATGCCTTGCTGAGTCAAAGCAAGGCATGGCTCATATTCGTTTGGGATGAGGTGATTCAGAACATGATTGAGATGAACAAGTGAATCAATGGGTACATTGCGCGTATTATCTTCTTGCCTCTTTGTTGGTTCGGGGTCTTGAAGTGGTAGAATGTAATTATGTGTTAATTGGCTGTTGATTGCTTATTTTGACTTTTTGATGTGACTCGCTGATGTCGAGTCTCCTGTTGTCGTTGTATCTGTCGATAATTTCTGTGTTGCTTGTTAACATTTCTCTGGTGATGGTCTAGTTGTGTGAGGAGATTATGTTCCTTGAGGGAGTCCTGTTGTTTGAGCATTGTTAATCGCCTAGAAAGAGACGTTGTCCACTTGCCAATATAATGAGATCCTTGGGGCTGACAGTCCCCATGTGGGCATGTGAAGACATAAACGACGTTGATTTCTTTCAAGGCGTTCTGTTTGGTGTCTCAAGAGTTCTTCATGAGTAGTTGGCCGTTTTCTTGTTTTTGTAGTAAATTGTTAATTATATTTCTGATCTGTGTCTGTGCGGATAACGTTCCTATTAATAATATCTTTCAATTCACTTTCCTCCGTTTTATGAGCCATGGAAAGGAAGCTCGTGTAAAACCGTCTAATAGGAGGTACAAGTGTTGTGTTAGTTGATTCTTCATAGGGTGTATGACGTTTCACCTTTCTATTAATGACGTCTTCTAGGCTGAAATGGCTGAATTTAGGCTGAAATGAAATCGACTCACAAAAGTGACGTACTGTCCGATTTTCTGTTTGAGTCGTCCTCTTACCCGGCAAGCTTAGAAAAGGAAACTTTCCATTAACGTTTTTCATATCCTTTTGAATTTTTATGAGAGTTTCCTGCCCACCTAACCTATCAGAGGACCCTTAACATACTTTTGTTGAAAAAAAAATCCCAAGTATATTTACAATTGTTTTCATTTTCAAATTACGTCCATATTCGGCCATACGGGCAAAGAGCCAAAAGTGACGTTCCTTTTAAGAGGACAGGTTGGTTGATTAGGCATAAGTATGTTTGTTGAACATCCGTTTAACTTGCCCAAACGAGAAATCCAAGAAAGATTTCTGATATTGAAAAATCCATGGAAGATGAAGTCCATTTAGAAAAATTAAAAATTTTGGATACCCAGCCCTCAAAACTTTAATATTTATCCAGTATTCAAAAGCAGTCAAATGGTTAGGTCCATTTTAATTAAGAACTCTCTCCCGACTGCAGCAGATTGTTTGTATTCAATTCCATAACATGATTGTGCATGTGTTTACATCGGCCAAACAGGTAAATCCCTTTCCTCATGTTCAAAACAACACTCTTACTCAATTTGTACAGCCCAGTATTTTAACGCATTGCATTTACATTCCAGTTTATGTGATCATGCTATCGACTTAAGAGGGGCAAAATGTTTTGTACTAAAATGTTTTGAAACAAGGGTTTCATTGAGTGAAGATTGATCGCGGCAGCCTTGATTAACCTGTGTGTCAATAGTCTTAATTTTAACCGTTGTATGTACAAATTAGATTCGCATCTGCTCTCCAGTATGGCACGTCAGTACACAGTACGATAAACAACCCTGATTGGGATGTATATTTACTTTTTTGGTTTTTACCTTAGTGTATTATCAAATTATCCGCTTTATGTGAAATGACGGTTAGTACCTTTTATGATTTCTACCAGAAAAGATTTTCAATGTTGCTAATGAAACCTACCCTAATATAACCATCCTAGGCCTAACATAGGAATATTTATGTATGGATTTTAGCTTTATTTTTTATGCTCTATAAAATAAATAATACCAAATTCAACTTTCTGTTTGCTCATTACATTATTATTTATTCGATTGGCCACATAGTAACAAAATGTACTATTTTACCAAGAGGATCGATTGTTGTTCAATATATGTGTTCTCAAGATATCATTCAATTGTGAAAGTACAATTATATAAGATCTAATTCATTCAAAAAATACCTGAAACTGTAAAATCACGAGACACGTAAATCTTTAAGGCAAAACTGATTTCCATGAGGACGTGGTCACCTCTCCTCACCAAGGTGTCGATGCTCTCACCAAACTCTGGGTGACTTCTGTATATGAGTCGACCCTTCTCCTCCAGACCCGCAATCTCTCGGTATATTCCAGACTTAATATTCTGGAAAATTGGATAATTATGCTATATTTATGCATTATTAATCATTTAAATATATTTGTTAAATATATAATGCTTGATATATACATATATATCGCAAGGCAGGTCAAATATATAAAAAAAAAACAGAGGTATGATTATTAATGCTCATTAGGTCACTAATAGTACGAAGTCAAAGCAAGTGTAAACTTTGGAACAAATAGGGACAGAAATTTACGAAATTGATATATTATTTATGGTATTGTTTTCTACTTATAAATAATTATGAGTACATAAGTATTTGATTACATACACGCACAAACTGCACATTGGCCGAGTCTTTCTCCCATATGGTGATGACGGAGCGGTCGTCCAGAACGTCCTGGAGGGACTGGAAGGGCTGGGAGATGTGTCTGACAGCCAGGAGAGCCATGAGGTTACCGGCGTAGCTCTGCGTCAACACCACCGTCACCAGCCCCCACACCGCCAACACCACCCGCTCCCACCACCAGTCACCATCATATTCCAACACATCTATGCGAATAGTTTATTTGTTAAAAAAGTATGTTTTGCATGCGCAGATTATGCTTTCTGATAATGTATCTGTGCACAATGAAATCATATTAATGTGATGTATGAATGAGAAAATCAGTAGAAGCCATGATGAGGATTTGAATCCGCACACCTGAATGCTCACACGTAATCGTCCTAACCAACTAGGCCACAGCATGCTCAAATCAATGTCATGGCCTATATTTGGGAGCACCCAGTGTGCAGGTTCGAGTCCCCCCATCATGACTTATACTGACTTTCTTAACGATACATCATATAAAGGTGATTTGTTGTGCATTTGAAGTGCAACTTTGCAAGTAGAATTCCAATACAACAGCCGAAGTGCATTTGGGCCAAGCTTGAAACCATCATTGGGCTTCAGTGCAAGCCTAACATAACTATGTCACTAATTCATGTTCTATTATAATATAATATTATTAATTGCATTAAACCAGTTTGGAAAGAAATATTTGAAAATGACGAAAATCACTCTACCTGTGGAAAATTCCACCCACTATATTTTTATTATAATCTAAGAAATGGATTATTTCTATGTCACATCTGAATCCTACATCTAATCATATCAGAACATTTCAGATTCATCTCTTGTATCATACGTCAACTAGATCCTACATCCATGACATCATAATGGTTACGTCCGCCACTGTGCCTTATGGATGCCAACGTGACTTTTTTCATGTAACTTCAAGGGCTTAGAAGCTTCGACAAGGAGCTATGTTAATTAATAAACAATTGGAACATCATTTGACTTCCGGTGATGCTTATTACAAATCCGTAATAAAGACTATATTTGAACTATAAGTACTACCTATAATCATTAAATCCAAAATAAATTTATCCTATAATCCCACTTTATCTCATTAATCTGTATACACAATAAAAAAAATAATCGATATTCATTGAAGGCTTCCCTCCCTGAGAGAGGATGCGGCTGCCGGCTGGGAGCGCAAGCGCCCATCACCGCCCGAGGCCAGATCTGTGTTTACATTCAAACAGTGTACAAACGTGATGGTGCTTTAGACATTTTCAGCGAGACTATACTGCACAAACTAATCTAAATTCCCAGTGATTACTCCCTAAGATACTCGGAGAGTTCCTGAACTACAAATCAGAACTAATTACTGATACATATATCTAAATACGAGTGTAGAGTGTATTGGTACCTGATCATCTTAATCCTAAAATACACTACAAGTGAATCTATTATACAGCAAAGCTACTATCTTATTATCAAAATGCAGTGCCTTATCTCCTGAGGAGTGATTATAGAGTCTGGAAACGGTCAGATTGGTACCGGGACTCGGAACAGATAAGTCCTAAACGTTTGTTGTGTGTTTCAATTGGCCAATTTTTTCAAGCTTACAATCACCACTAATGCAAGTGGTGATTGTCACGGCCAGCTGACCACCACCACCACCTGTGTCCGTGTCTGCCCTCCCTCTCTTCGTCTGTCGAACGCCCGCCGATGTCGCAGGTCACTGCAGAAAGCCAGGCTTCTCTCAGGCAAAAGGTGCCACCAATCAGCAGCATACAAGGCACATGCGAAGTGTGTGTCAGGGTGTTGTATCTTAAAAATAACGGGGATTTGTGCAAACATTCCCACAACGGAACATGATGTCCAGGTACGTGGCGCCCTCTCAAAAAGAGTATATCAATCAACGTCCCACATGAGCAGTCAGGGAAAACACCTCCAACAGCTGCATTTCGACAGAGAACCTACTAAAAGCCAATACAGCAACATCAGCTGGAACCTTGCAACACATCCCCAAAGCTGCTCGTTCCCAAGCAACAACCAAACTATCCAGCCTCTTATAAAAGGTTGATGAATCTCCCGGAACAACCCAAGCATGGCTCAACCTCCTCATGTTTTGTAAAATATGCCTAGCTGTCCCTGCAAGGAGAGACAAATCGCTAGCTTCCTCAGTCATTAGGGTTATAAATAGTTTTCGTAGAGAGGACAACAAGGTACCCCTCCCCACCCGTGCCAAAAACACCTACAGCAGGAAAGGTATCAACAACAGAACCGAGGCATCCAAACTAAGAGTCACAGTCAGCAAGAAAATAGAAGAAGGCAACACTGTAGGGGCAATAAGAGTCATCACCAGCGAGGACACAGTTGCCACCAGAGATACCAATATAGCACAAGCCCTGCGAGATAAAGACCCACCCAGAGCTCCACGTGATGACAATATTCCATCAGTCGGTTTCACCAGAGCAGAACCCCTGTGTGTGGTCGAATCTGTGGTACAAAAAGCAGCTTTATCCTTCCCACCAGGATAAACAGGACTTAGACCCAACCACATCAAACAAATGTTTAACCCTGCTCTGGGAGACATTGCACAGGGCCTACTGGTGGAACTGACTAGATTTTTCAACACATGTCTGGCTAGCAACATACTAGAGACCATACGGTAGTTTACGTTTTGCTGCTAGCCCCTGTGCCCTCAGGAAAATGGATGGAGCAATCAGACCAATAGATGTGGGAAATTCACTTCGGCGTTTCGTTGCTACAGCTACTGCTAGAACAGTTAGCCAGGCAGAAGCAGACATACTGAAGCCAAAACAGCTCGGGTTTGTCATTCCCCAAGGGTGTGAGTCAGCGGCTCATGCAGCTAGAGCCTACATTGCTAACATTACAGCAGAAAAGGCCCTGTTAAAACTGGATTTCAAAAATGTTTTCAACCTGGTAAGAAGGAATGCAGTACTCAGTGCGGTTCATCGTAATTTTCCTTCCCTCTACACGTTTGTACACTCTTGTTACAGCAAGAATCTAACTCTATTATTCGGGGAACATGAAATCGAATCACAAAAAAAGCTATCCAACAGGGTGACCCCCTTGCTCCTTTTCTTTTCTGCCAATTCACCAAGAAATTCACTGATACCCGGTCCAGTGAGGTCAACATTTCGTTTCTGGACGATGGTACTCTAGCTGGCTCCCCAGACTTCCTCCTGAAGGACATAAGAATAATTCAGGAGCAAGGAGAAAGTCTAAGCCTCACCCTGAACTCTTTCAAATGTAAAATAACCTCCACCAAATATCATATAATAGAGCAAATAGAGGGTGTTTGCCGGATATCCATATAACCAACACTGAGGACAGCACACTCCTAGGAGCTCCTCTTTGAGGAAAGGCCATCTACGAGGTATTTGGTAAGAAGATCGCTGACATGAAGAGGATGAATGAGAGGATTGAAGACATTGATGCACTCTACTTCATCATCAGATGCTGTCCCCCTCCCTAGGCTGACCTGTCTTAGATGTTCGCCATCGTTCAATAACATCAAATTGGAGGAGTGCTCCAGCTTGCTGAAATCAATGTTAGAAAAAGCCCTCAACCTATCTATCAGCAACTCAAAGTGGAAACAAGCCTCCCTTCCTGTCAAACATGGGGACCTCGGCGTTCACACATCAACACAAATTGCTGTACCAGCGTTCTTGTCCTCTTCAATGCCATCGGATAACCTGGTGAAGGATGTTGGAAATTTCCAACCCTAATACAACACTGTTGTATTATTCTTAATTATTACTAAATCTACTAATCCCTGTAGTAATTAAAATTAACCAACCGTAGAGTTCACATGTACTAATAATTGCATCTGTACAATAAGGCTAGAATTCTTACGTCACCAGACGCCAGTATTGCGTCAGATTCTATTATAATAAACACATCTATATCCAGTGTGTCAGAGAATTGAGTTTGATTCTCTATAAAACAACGGTGTTCTGTGTGATAGTTATTTACAGATAACCTGACTCCCAAATAATGCCAAATAGAGCGTTTCTAGTTACAACTGTTATCTGGTAATAAATTTAACGTCACGCGTGACTGCCCTGGAGAGACTTTAATTCATCTCCATTGCTCGTTTACCATCGTAAAACGAGCAAATAATAATATTTAACTCCTCTGAATAATAAACCCGTCATTATCCAAGCATTTCAGTCGCAATCGCGAGAAATGATATTATTCGTAGTGAATAATTTGTGTATCAGATGTGGGACCCGGAGCGGGGGGCAGAGGAGACGCCATTAATCGAGAAGACGCCACCGAGAGCGCGTGGAGGAAGAAAGTCGCCACTGTGAGGTGTGAAGAATAGTTGCAGAATTGAGCAACTAGGCTGGTGTCAGTGTCATAGGATACCTCGTGGTGAATCGTCAACGAGAATTAACTTGACATTCCACCAGGAACCTGTTAATTGGTTCCGAGTAATCCATCGTGACCGGCCAGAGAAGCGCGTCGATATCTAGGCTAGGCTCAACGCCACGTGTCTGCCATTACGACGCTAAAGCCTCAGACGCGAGCTTCGGCAAGCCTTAACTTACACAGTGCCCTATTAGCTAAGTACCTATATTCCCTTTTGATGCATCATTAGAGATAGGTTATAGCAGGGTAGCTTGTCGTCACGCCGAGCGACTAAAATAAGACACATGTTCGTATCAATTTCTATTCTCCTTTTCTGATTTTCTTGAATATAGATATTTGGCAGCCCAATATGTTGCTACGTAATATATCTTGATTTACAGCTTTTGTGTGAAGAATTCCCCGAGCTGTCATTTCCCGTGTTAATCATCTCCCAGTGTTCCATGATGAGTTCAGGAGATTCCGAGGATGATTCATGACCGATGTCTTGGAAAACGTCTTCAAGCTAAGACCCTTTTCCGTATTCCATTAATTACATTATTTGTAGTGTATTATTACTACGGATCACTGTTCACTGGATTAACACGTGTTTATTATAATCATTAATTTCTGATGTTCATAATCTATATTCTTATTGGTGACAAATTTATTGATTCCATAATTGGTCATAGGATTAGGTTATTGCATAATGAACTGGTGTACGAACCACACTAGTTCCTAGACATATATGAAGTTCTAGTAATACCCCCCCCCAATGTAGATGTTTGAGGCTTTGATTCAGTTAAATTATATACAGCCCATTAATTATACAAGTGATTATATT